CTTGAAAATTTCGATAAATAAGAGCCTTATAAAATTATAACATAACATACCATGTCATAAGATAACATTAACAGCCTACACGACCTAAAGCAGTTTTCTAGGTTCATCAGAAGACGGATACTTTTGAAAGTTTATAAATAAGTATGGTAGCGACTTTTTGAAGAAGAGTTAACATTTTATGCTATTTTTTTCAGAATATAAAAAGATTTTGCACTGTGTTGTTAGTGGGCATGAAAAACTACTTTAAATACTGGTACGTAATCCACCAAAAACTAAAAATCTAAAAAATTTTACATAGCGCACTTTGCAAGTGGACTACTCATGTGTTAAATGTTTCAAATATTCTACCTAAATTTTTTTGAGATCTAGCCCAGTTTTTGTTAATAAATTCCATTAATTTGGTTTTCAAAGTGAAACACCGGCTTTCACCATGAAATTTTTCCACCTACCTCCTGCCTCGCAACACTGTGCATTCGCAGATGGGTCGAAGTTGGACGGAAAATTTGAAAGAGGTGTTTTCTGGCAGGAACTCTCAGTAAATAACATGATCAGGCTGGCGAACTTTTTCAGCATCTTTTATTTAGGCAGATGTGCCAGCTATAAAACAGGCAGCCTCGCTAGGCGCATTGTATTAGCGATTAGAAGGGTAAATATCTACGCTGATAGTCAAGCGACCATCAGGTTCTAGAATCGATCATGATGCGATTGAAACTGCTCGGAGATTGTGTGACCTTTCTCTCAATCGTCTCGGAGTATTCATCGTTGGAAATTGCAGGCCAAACGAATTGGCTGAGCAGGGTGCCCCTTAAGTTATCTCCTGGACTGATGAGCTTGCAGTCAGCTCGGCGCTGTACAAACCCCCATAAATGCAAGGCTTCAAAGTCTTCATGGCCGGCACAATTGACTGCGGATGGTCAAAGGGGCTTCTGCAGTTAGCTAAGCGCCAGTTCTTCATTCTTACCGACTGGTCAATGTCATTTAGGAACCCATGTTATGCAATCTAATATCGCCAGGTTTGAAGGACGAGATGAAATCATCTCAGCAATTCTTTGCTTCACTAGACTAAGGTTTAAACACCTCGGCTTATATTTCGTTAACTTTACTTTGAGCACCTAAAAAATGTCTAACTTCACACGAATTACCTTGAGTTACCGTTGCACGAATGCTACAAGGTGTTAACACAATGAAGAACAACTTCTGCCACCTTACCTCACCCAGCCTAACTTTGAAGAAGTAAAATAGAATCGACAAGCCCGTAGAAATATTTTTTATTTATTTAAATAAATCATACACAGATTTCGGAATATTGTATTCTATCGTCAGCATTGTCAATCAACCGACTGATTAGAGGTGTAGCTAGGGTAGGAATGGAATAAAATTTGTGATGGCCACTAACCCATTATTTCCCTAAGAACTTGCCAGACTCTTTTATGAATCTTAATGAAGGGAAAAAGAATATAGCTCGACCATGTTCAATATGAGTATGCTTCGTACTATCTTCATTTTTCAAATAATACATACACAGTGGATCGTCGATGATACCTTTGATAACCACCATAGGTCGTCCCCATGGAATGTGCCCCCTAATCAGTCCTTTCAAACCTGGTAGCTCACTGCTGGTCGCCCTCTTCAGGAAACACTTGGTTGTTTTGCTGGTAAAATTGGTCCCGCTCCAATTGAACGGTCTTAAGAACCGCAATTTGCCAACTCATCAGCAGTTCGTTTCCTTGAACATCACGTTCATTTCATTTCCCTAAAGTTGAAATATGTATACTGTCTATAAATTATACTATAAACTATAAATTATTGTTCGGTTAATCCCAAAAGCTAAGCCAAGCAAACCATTGTTTGAAATTTAAAAAAAAAAAAAAACCTACATAAAAAGTTAATTTTCTTACGTATTCTATTCCACTAAGTAGCGGACAGCAATTATGTCTTGTCTTTTACTTCTTAATTTTAATCAATCGCCTGGCTTTGGTTCTGCTAGGTTTAATACGCGATACCACTAACCAATATCCCACAATCAGAGACAATAAATTCTACAGACAACAAGTCTGCTGGTTGAATGATCGTCTGGTTTACGCATACATACATATTTATATGTAGGTATGTACTTTCATAAATATGTACTTACATATGGACATACATTAGATCGTATCACAAAAATAAATGCAATTTATTCCAAGCGATCTTGACGGTAGGTATTTAAGGAGTGTAAAATTCTTCGCTATTGGTATGGACAAAATTTGAGTTAACCTAGCAGAAAATTTGTAACTGCTTCTTTTGGTAAACCCAGTAGAAAATTTGAAACTGCTTCTTGTGTAACCCAAATGCAAATATGTAATTTTTCATTAACAACAGCCTTTGTTTACAACTACAGACGGCTATATTTGCATTCTGAAATTCTCTGGGAATAGTTCGGAGCGTCCATTTCCAGACTAGTGCGGACTATTTCAGGACTAATCAATTTGGTGATAAATTTGGGGCTAGCTCGGTATCAGTTCGGACCTAGTTCAGGACTCTTTCGGGTCTTGTGCGGGACTATTTCAGGAATTTTTCGGGACTTGTTTCGGAGCAAGATCGGGTTCATTTTGGGGGTATTTCAGGACTGTTTCTAGACTTGTTCAGGACTAGTTTGGAACCCGTTCGGACCTAGTTCTGAACTTTTTAGGGTCTAGTGCAGGACCATTTCGGAACTTTTTCGGAACTACTTCGGGATCATTTTGGGTCTAGTTCAGGACTTTTTCGGGACTACTTCGTGATTATTTTGGGACTAGTTCGAGACTTATTCAGAACTTTTTAGTGATCGAAACCAGTTCGGATCGAGTTGAAGGCTTTTTCGGGTCTCATTCGCAACTTGTTCGGGGCTAGATCTAAACCAGTTCGGACCTAGTTCAAACTATTTCGGGTCTCGTATGGGACTTGTTCGGGATCACTTTGAGCCTACTGCGATACCAGTTCGGGACTAGTACAGGAATTTTCTGGGGCTAAATTTGATGAGTAACTGGTACTCAGGCCTTTTTTCAGCACCCAGTAAAAACACCTAAATCGTTTTTTTTTTAACAACTCCTTAATTCAATGTACATTTTCTATAATTGATATACCGTCGTAAAGGTATTATAAAAACCTACATATTTCCCTAAAAAAAATATTACCCTATCATGACAAATTAAAAAGTTATTATTATAAATGTTTTTTTTTGAACACGGCTCCCTATAATCAATAGTAGCAAGCTCAAAAATACACTAGCATTATCAAAAGCGTCTTTACTATATGTATATTTATCAAGCTTGATAAAAAAATGGATTATAAATTGAAAAATTTATTCGAACGTAAATTTATAAAGCTTTTAAAACCTATTTTATTTTTTATGAATACGGCCATCAATTTTTAACTAAATAGTTGGAAATTTTTTCGGCACATTCATCGTGATACGATCTAATGTACATATACACACATATGTATATACTATGTACGTAAGTATATGTGTTTGGCTGTATTCTTGTTCACCTCCAAATTCATGTTTTGCAACAATTATCATTGGTTTCTTTCCATCCATGCTGCTATCGAATTCGATTTTATTTTCAAATACTTCCGCTTATAATATTCTATGCTTCCTCAGCTCCTCTTAAGCAAAAAAAAAAAAAAAACAGTAAACTGTATGAGTATGTGTGCATATTAAAGAAATTTGAGCTCACAAAAATTTGCGATAAACTAAAAACAAAAGTTAAAAAAAATTACTACGCATCTGCCAAGGTGAGTTGAAAGGCTGCAGATGAGGTCGAAATGATATTGAAAAGCTGAGGTCATGGTTGAATCTATGAATAAAATTTCCATTAACAATTTTTAGTAAGAATTTGCGCATTCAGTTGGAAAAATGGAAAAATTGCAACCGGAACTAATTAATTCGGTATGCAGGGATAATCTCCTGCGTCAGTTGCTAGCTGGAATTAAATAATCGATTGTCTTTATTTATATTTATGAATGCTTAATATTATAGCTTTTTCAGGTTAAATGAAACCATTTTCAAATTAAGTGAAACCTTTTTCAGATTCAATGAAGCTTTATTTAAATTAATTGAAACTTTTTTCAAATTAAATGAAACATTCTTAAAAGGAAGTATCATTTAGTTTGTAAAAGGTTTCGCTTTATTTGAAAATGGTTTCATTTAATTTGAAAAAAGTTTCACTTAAACTGAAAATGCTTAATACAGCAAAGTGCCTTTTCTTGTTGTATGCATCTTTGAGCATTATTTATTGTTATGCAAACTTTTCAAAAAAAAAAATTGTAGAAGCATATGCATGTACATATGTTTGTATGTATTTTAACGTGATGCGTTAATCATCTGTTGAAAGTAATAAAAGGCCGTCGCTATTTTTCGAAACTGTTTTATTGTTTACCTAAACATTTTTGGTTATTCTTTATATAATAATATACAAAATAATTTTAAAGCAAACTAAAACTAGCGTTTCATTACATTTATTGTGCGTATGTTTATAAAAAAAAATAAACAAACGTTCGCATTTGAGTTCTAAGACGAAAATAAAAATATAAAAAAAACTCTTAAAACTCTATACAAGCAATCTCCTTAGAACTAGCCTTAACTCTGTATGTTGTATGTGAACTACCTCCCTTAACGTTAAAAGTATGTATGCCGCATAGTACCTCCTCTTAAAAGTACGTACGTTCAAAATTATTGTTGTTGTCTTCATCTTCAACATCATCAACATCATCAACATCATCATTATCATCATTAGCTTCATTTCACATTTCCTTTCACTTTTGAAAGAAATTCTCCTCATTATTTCCTCCACGTCAGCTACTAAATAGTGCGCAAACTACTCCATCCCTCCCCCTCAGGACACATATGTACATATGTAAGTATGTGCATACATATGTAGATTCCTCCAAGTACATTGAGTATGCGCTTATTGCCAAGACGTCTATAAAAACATGTTGTTGGTGTTCGTACTTTTACATATAGATATTGGTGGTTTCGCGTATTTTTTGAATTTTTTTTTTTTATGAAATTTGTTCAGTGTGATAACGGTAGCATGAGAATAGGAAGCTTCAAACAGGCACCAAGTATAATTTTACTAATTAAATACTGTCCTATTCTAAAGCAAAAAAAAAATGAATCTGTGTACGAGCACTGTAAACTGAAATGCTTCTATTCTTCCTTATTCTCGTATAGCGCGCCCTTACGATCTTCGCTGGAAATATCCGTATCATCCCAACCCCAAATCATGGTATCCTCTTTCTCATGATCGAGTTTCGACACCAGCTGGTTGATGTTCACATTGTTGTTATTTACGTCATGCAGAGAGTAATGCGAGCCATCACCGGTGCGCTGTAAACGTTTCAGAATCAATTCCTGTGACACCGATTTCAAATCGTATGCTTGACCTATGAGATAAAAAATGCAACAAAAAAAAATTTTAGTATAGATATTTTGAGCTACTGCTGCTTTCTGCATTTATCACTAACGACTTACCAATACGTGCCATGAGATCCAAGAAAGCTGTGGTCCAATTGTGCTTGTATGCTCCCAATTCTCCCGCTTTGTAGTCCCATGGGAAGACATGATGATAGTTATGCCAGCCCTCGCCAAAAGCAATGATCGACACAAATTTGCTATCAACCGAACTGATGTTCTTTTCGTATGGTCTCATGCCGTAGAAGTGGGCAGCGCTGTTCACCAGCCAAGTGCCGTGCAGCGAGAGTGCATAACGAAGCATTGAGCAAACGAAGAAGCACACTTGGAGAGATGAGCCCAACACAAAGTAGGGGAATAGTGCCGGAAGGACGAAACAGCAAATGGGCATTACAACAAAGTAGTATCTGTAAGCGAAAAAGGGGAGAGTTATGTATAAAACAAGTCATTTTCGGCGGAAAAGAGGGAAGGACAAAGTGTCACAAATCGAAATTGTTATCGTTATCGACATTGTTGTCGTTATCGACATTGTTGTCGTTATCGACATTGTTGTCGTTATCGAAATTTTTTTTCGTTATCGACGCAGCTATCATACTCTCTATCGTAATTGTAGGCACTAACGACATTGTTGTCGTTATCGAAACTACTATCGTTATCAATATTGTTATCGCTGTCATAAGCGCCATAGTTATCGTCAATCTACCGTCATTCTTATCATTATTAATGTCGATAATGGCGCCTTTTCCATCATTGATAACGATTTCACACACAGTGTTACTTACACTTACAATTTATCTACGGATTTTATTTTCTAAATTACCCACTTTTTTTCAAAAGCCTACTAATTGTAAAATTAACCCCGCATTCGAAAATAATACTCAAAATTGCTTTGTTAACTTTACTCACTTCCGCTGGAACTGAACTACAGGATCGGCCAAAATATCGCTCATATCAATGCATTTGCCACGTTCTCTTACATCGGAATGCTTTTTGCACATCAACCAACCCATATGAGCAAAGAAGAAACCACGTCCCGAATTGTGCGGATCCGCATTGGTATCGGTGAATTTGTGATGCACACGATGATCGCGACACCATTCGTAGATGCTGTTCTGGAACGCGAGCGATTGGCAAAGCATAAGGAATATACGTAATGGCAGTTTGGCTTTGTAAGCGCGATGCGACCATAGACGATGTACACCGGCAGTGATGCCCAAGCCGCCAAGTATGGCATAAAAATAGCCTATCGTACGCGATGGGAGGAAGAGAAAGCATATATATATATATTTAGTAAATTAAACAAAAAAAATTACATATATGTAACTCCATCACAAAACGCACCAATTACAAATTCCAGATAAGCGTTCTCAGCCCAAATTAACCATACACCATAGAGTGCGCTCGAATGCAATAACACAAATAAGAATACATTGAACCAAACGATTTCCATTTTATAAGGTTTCTGCGTAGTCGTATCTGCTTTGTTCTGAGTTTGCGCCACTGGCTTGGCAGAGTTTTGACGACTGATGGCCGCTGCTGACTCGCCTTGATTCGGGACGCGATCATTGTTGCTTGTTGCTGTTTTGCAAGTGCCCTTAGCTAATGCAGTCTGCTTGTTGTTGTTAGCGTCATTATTATTATTGGTGATTGCCGTTTCGGCGATAAGGAAAGTGCTGCCTATCAGATTTGGAGCCATCTGTAAGAGGGAAGAGAAACACCAAAAAAAAGGATTAGATTTTTGAATACAAAATTCAGAAGGCCAAAAAAGTTAATCGGCTCTATTATGGTTGTCGACTTGGACGTCGATGTAATTTTTGCATCAAAAAGTAGCCTTCTTAAGGCCAACTCCAGTTACGTTGACCACAGTATTTCTGCAAGGAACACCTTTCCGGTAAAATACTGTGGTCAGCGTAACCGAAATTATGAAAAAATTACATCGACGTCGAAGTCGACAACCATAATAGGGCCGAATTAGTAAATATATTTTTTTATCTTAAATGTTATAGACATAAATCAATCAGCAAAATGTTTAACTCTCGAAAATAGCTTTTTCAGCAATAAATCATTTGAATTTAATTTTCAGCACATCCCGTAAATCATAAGTACATACATGATTGCATAACATACTATGCACGCGCGTCGCTTTTGAAAACTGCTATTGATGAATTCATATGATTGGTTTTTATTTAAAAAAAAAAAAAAAAAACACTAAAAAATATATAAGCTGAAAAATAGCTGAAATGAGCTCATTTTTCTCCCTCTCGCATCGCTTTGCCGCACAACTCTTTTAGTCGGCATACTCGTATTAGAGAATAAATATATTCGTATTCTCTCCAGCAGCTAACTAAATAAGTAAATAAATTCGTTGCCAACCAACACACACGTTTTTTGCCTTGAAGTCATTACCAATTCGAGTTATGCGTCTATGGTTTCCTTCGGCTGACTACCAAATAAGTTCTAAAGAATCTAAAGCATAAATACTACTATATAGAATGTGTTAATGAAATGTTCAAAAATAACTACGACTCATCAGCTATTCCTGTCAGGTTGCGATAGAAATAAAAAAATTTATAAAACAGAAACCATTTTTAAGGAATTTATGTATGTATGTAGTGAAGAAAATACAAAAACTTTGAATACAAATCGCTAAAACAGGGACACCAATTTCAATTGAATCGCTTAGAAAGAGTTTAGAGAGTTGCACGTGAACTCGTAAAATTTTGCTAGTTCTTTTTTAGAAATCTAACTTTTGTTAATGCGTACGTTGATTTACATTCAAACGGAAATTGAATATAAACTTGTTCAGTTAGTTTAATTAAAAACTCATTTTAAGAAATAAATCAATTTAAGTGACACAGGCACTCTTTTACACAGAAGGAGGCTTGGCTCGATTGTTGTAGGTAATAAAATTTACTTAAGAGATAAATAACATATACGGCGCGCGAATAAATTAAAAGAAAACACTCAAAAAAAAACAAAATTGAACTTGTTAAAAGACAAGCTGATATTCAGAGAGAACTGGTTTATAGAAATCTCGCAAAATTATATTTGAGATCGCATTCATAATGTCCATCGATACATAGTTACATATGTACATATGATATCTGTATGTGTGATATGAAGCGAAGATTCTTAAATAATAATATTGATCGTAAGTATTTCCGTATTCAATGGTTCGTAATTTTAAATGCGCCATGGAACTGGTTGTAGCTCTTTCAGCCGCCAATGGGTCGCGGAAAGATTACAGGTGGGTCGCGACTCGATCCTAAATTTCTCAGAAACTTTGAAGATATAATTAAAAAAGTTTAAATATTTTGGTACATAAGGACGAAGGAGGTACTGAAAAGCCCTTTTAGAATTTTATTCCAGAATATCCTTGAAAATTTGCAATACATATTTTTGAAAGAAATTGTATGTTAAAGACTGATATACACACGAGCAGATCCTCGAATTTCGTCCATCAATCATTATTGGCTTAAACAATTCAAATTAATTAAAAGGACTTTTTCAATACCTAATTTGTTTGCCTAATATTATTCCTGCAGCTTTCTCAATTTTCAACTGATTTTAGACTTTGATAACTTTCGAAATAGGGAATTTCAATGGATATCAGGCACCATAGTAAATTAATTGGAAGAGTTTCATTGTATGGAATTGGGAATAAAAGAACTCATTTTGCCACTAAATATTTCCCGATCGCCACCAAATTTTATATTGGAAGCATTAAGACTAAAAGGAAACTTTTTCTACCCGGCGGGTTGGAATTCATTTTTAAGTCTATTGTATATATTTTTGCAATATTGGATGGTAAATAAAATGTACATATACTTCACCATGCATGGATGGAACATGGAAGCATTACTATAAGGAAAAGAAAAGGTTATAACCCACTATTCTAGCATAAACAATTGAGAGAAACTAAAAAAAAATCTTAGAGTCCTCATAAGATTCCAGCATGGTAAAGAACGTTGACGACAGGAGCAGCACAGCGTTCAAATATGTAGAAACTTTTTGCCTTGAAACTTCAAGGCTGTGTTAGGTTGGAATGGTTTAATTGGTCGATCCTACTCACATATATGCTAAAAGAGGCGCGTTCGGATACCCATCTATGCAGTTGAGTGATTCACTTCACTGCCTTTTGTTTAGTTTATTTTATTAAAGTAGGTACTCTTTTTTCATAACTGCTATCACATGTGATTCGTCGAATAGCAATAATGTAACGGGTGATTTTTTAAGAGCTTGATAACTTTTTTTTTAAAAAAAACGCAAAATCTCATCGGTTCTTTATTTGAAACGTTAGATTGGTC